CAACCTTGGGGTCCGATGACTACAGACTTCCATGCTATTTGGATGTGGATTGAAACAGGCAGTAGATAAGGGCGGATTCCTACGAAGATGGATCTACTCAAAGTTGGATGTAGACCCACCAAAGCTGGATCTGCGTAATGCAAGAAGACGGATCTGGCGACCCTCGTTATGAGTTCACATCGCATGGCATCTTGATTGTGTGAGTGACTCGACCAACTTGACAGAAAGTGGGCAGTGTGCAACTGTAACAGTCGGCTAGCTGGGAGAAAATTGATGCCTATTGTTCTTGTTTGCTCCTTGCGCTAAGTTCCGATTACTGAAATGCTTCTCGGTGCTTGACTGATGTGGTTGCGACGTGGCCGGAATAGGGGTTCCAACATCGTGCGGAATCTGACGCCGGGCAGCATCCGATCTACATTTGGCGTATGCTGTACTGTACGTGCCAATCCTGGTTTCTTCGATTCTCCTTCCCACCCTTGCACGTGTTCTATGTTCCAAATGCAATCAAGCGGTGGCCTTCAAAGCCTTGCAAAGTTGCAAGGCTTGGCAGATCTGCAGGTTGTAAAACAGCAGGCTCTAGAGGGGATCCAAATTGGGTAGAGTCAGCTTTGGTTTAGAGTCAGCTTTGGGTAGAGTCAGCTTTGGGGATCCTATTTCGTAGGAATCCACCCTAAGATTGCAGGTCTTGGTGGCGCATGGGGGAGGGGAAAATGGCAAGGGGTAAAGTTGAAGAAAGAGAAGGGGAGAGAGGGACAACCGACCACATGTTCTAGGCTATCATAATGCCGGTTGGTTGAGGGGCGAGATCTCCAGAGCGGGAAGGGAGGTCGAGTCTGGTGAGATAGGGTGGGATGGTGTGGAATGGAATGTGGTAAGGTGAGATGGTGTGGAATGAGGTGGCACCATAGAATTTGGAAGGTGTGTTCGAGTAGAGAGTGAACATTGCATAGGCAACTCGGAATTTCACCAAGGAACTACTAGGGCAGGTGCAGTATCACGCAATAGGGGGCAACATTCTAGAAGGTGGCATGATTAACATCGTCAATATCGTGATACCTTCAACTTTTCCTGGACCTGTGACAGTGCCACTCATGGGGCGCATGCCGAAGGCCGTAGACAGGGGAGTGCATACTCTATTGGGTCATAGGTGGGACGGACCCAGAGAAAAATAGTGGGCGTCGAAGGTAGATCTGCTCGTGCAGACTACTGTACCCTGTAGGAAGGCTGTGGAGAAGTCAAGTGAGTGAAGCTCGTAGTCACGCTGCGCGGCTAGGAGGAGGAGCACCCGAAGAGTAGTCATCTTCGTGGTGGGGAGGGAAGGTCTGGAAGAAGTCCACACCCTCTCGTTGACTGAAGCCTCTAGCCACGTAACACACCTTGAACTTCGACGGCTCACCCTATAGATCCACATGCCATCGACAACGTTCGCCCCAAGCATGGGAACTGCATCGCCGTAAGTGCCTGTGGATCTGTAGGATGCCATCTCAGCCTTCATGGCTTGTATCCACTGGGCTGCCTTGGGCACCAACACCACCTCAGCGTGCGTTGGATAGGGATGTCGAGGGTCTGGGTCGCCCTCTGGGGATACAAGCATGGAGCAGAGAAGGGGGACACACGACAGCAAGGTAAGCCAACTCATAATGCCTGTCCTCTAGCACGTCACTGCCAAGGGCAGGTGCACCCCCAACGGACGGAGGACTGTCAGTACCAGAGACCAGAGCGGCAGCGTAGTGAAGGTGGTGGCTAACAGCGAAGTCGGCGACAGCAGCGATTGTGAGAGTACGACCCCGTTACACCACTTGGCCTTTTCTTATTTCCTTCCCTTTTCATTTCTCTTTTTACCGCATCTCATTTGGTTTCCTATTCTTCCTTTTCCATTAACCTTTGGTTTATCCTGCTATTATCATTATATCACCGACCAGGCTTGGGATGTATTGGTGCGCTCTATCTAGCGTAATCCTGCTGTAATCCCTTAAAGCCAATAGCCTCGCGTGGCTATACGCAGGGTGATTCTATCTTCTAGAAGGGTCTATTCCCTTAGGATAAGATAAACCTGGTTACCTGATGTACTCTGGAAGTATAAAAGCGCCTTGTACTGATCGATAGTGCAACTTTTCCTCGACACATTCGATCCTGTGACACTTGGTAATCAGAGCTTTTCTCACTCGACCGCGCTCAGCTAAGCAGCAGCAGCGGGGATCCTGCCTCGAAAAACCGCCGGGGGCGACCAATTCGACGCCGATTCTGGTAAGCACCAGCTCCGCGATTTTCGAATTACCCCCTCCGTGCGTGTTTTGAACAGGATGGCAACCTTCGACAACGCCGAGGTTACCCAGCAGCTCTTCGCGCGCATCGCAGCCCTTCAGGAGGAAATGCGAGCGGATCGCGAAGCATGGCGAAACCAGTTCGAGCGAGTAACTCGACTCGCCGGAGCGCAGCACGAGACGACAACGGCGACGACGCAGCAGTCGCAGCAGTTTCTCGAGGCTCCAAAACCGCGCCCACCTGAGCCGTTCGATCCGAGCGATCGAAACTCCGACGCCCGCAGATGGATCGCCCGGATGGAGATCTACTTCGCAGCCGTCGGATGGAGCTCGCCAGTCTGGGACGGTCAACGCGTACGACTCGCGGCGACACTGATGCGAGGGCCGGCACTCGAGTGGATTGGCGGCAACAGTACTTTCATCCACGGTGAAGCCACGTGGCAGCAGTTCCGCGCCGACCTGCTGAAACGCTTCGAACCGATAAATTCGAGTTTCCTTGCCCGCGAAAAAATTCATCGCCATCGACAGTTCGGGAGTGTAGCACAGTACACGCAGCAGATGGAAGAATTTTATAACCGAATTCCCGACCTGACCGAAGGGGAAAAAGTGCAATCGTACCTCGCAGGGCTGAAGACCGAAGTCAAACGACAAGTCGCAGCGTCAAACTACGCGAGCTACAGTGACGTCGTTTCGGCAGCGGAGCGCTTCGACATGGTCAACGCCGGAGCACGACGGACGCACGTCGGCAGTACGCGACAGGGCGACCGCTCGGCTCACCCCACGTTCGCCGACCCGATGGAAGTCGACAGATTCGAGGGGCGGCCACGTCCGAAAAACACCAACTACACGTGTGATTTTTGCGGGGTGCCGGGCCACCGAATTTTCGACTACAACAAAATGAAGGCCGCACGCGCAGAGTATCGGGCACGCAACAGTGGCGGAAATCTTTCGGCCAATCAGAAGACAAAAAACGGGAGTCGCCAGTGATTGCGGATCTAGCTGGCGAAAAAGTAAAGATCCGAAAACGGCCGCGGGATTCCGGGAAAATCAACTTCGACGAAGCTGATTCGACGCGAGAAGGAGGAAATGATGGGGGAAAATCTCCACCCCACGACCAGTCTTCGCCAGGGAAAATCGCCGAGGAAAAATACGACTCCGCGAAAAAAGACTCTGCCGAGACAGGGAAACTCCTTGAAGACCCAAGAAATTATAAGAATTCATTAAAGTTATCTTATAAAGATGCTTTAATGAAAACTTATGATGTTCGAGGGGCTAGAGCCTTGGAGAAATTTCGGGAGGGACTCCAAAAGAAGCAGAAAGCTGTGGAGACCATACCGGTACCGGACAACTTGGGGACCAAATTAAGGAGTGTGGAAAGAAGCCAACCTTTCCACGGAGTCAACGTCCTCTCCCGACACCAGCCCACATCGACTACCCGTTCCCCAGGGAAGACGTCGGTGGAGCTGAAGCAGCTCAAGAGGAAGCTGGGGGTCTACAAGAAGCTGCACAAACCCCGAACTCCTCCTACGGATGCATCCAGTTCTTCGGCATCAATGACGCGCACAGTCGTCAAGGAAACTCCGGGCCCTGGAGAAGAGCCGTTCTCCAAGCAGCCTCGGCCAGCTGCCAGCTCAGGAGTAGACAGCAACACCAAGGTGTGTACGGAATATTGGGATGTACCCTATGACCCAATCAATGAAACTATCTTTGGGTACTCCGAGCAACGACTGCCCCTCGTGCTCGAGGTCATCTGCAAAGGACGACGCCTCCAAGCACTCGTGGACAGCGGAGCGTCACACACCGTCTGCGACAAGGCAGTGATCGACCGACTCCGGGAAGAGTACAAGCCTTCAGGATTCTCTGCAACGATGGTGGACGGCAGCAAGTTACCAGTACACGGCGAAGCAGTGCTACACCTACAAATTGGACCACTGCGCTGGAGACCTGCACTCCCCATCACCAACATCAAAGGGCTTGACTTGATCTTCGGGCGAGACTTCCTGAAAAGATTCAACCCCGAGATCAACTGGGTGAACCGCACCGCAAGCATCTACAACAATGGACGGAGAGTACAGCTACCCAACTGGGACGATACTGGAGATATCCCAACGGAGACACTCGCACGATTCGAGAAGGATGTGAAGCGGACCGACACCGGGTTCCTGGCGATAACAACAGAGGTGGAGAATGACGGAGAGAAACCCTCGGAAACTCCAGAAAAAATCAAGGAATTACTGAAGGAGTTCCAAGACATTCTTCCTGACGATCTTCCGAACGAGCTACCGCCATACCGAACGCATCAACACGAGATCGTGGAGGAACCGGGTTCGAAGCCGACCTTCCGAGCACCATATCGGCTCAGCCCTACGGAGCTGACCGACATGAAAAAACAAATCGAGTATCTCCTAGCCAAAGGACTCATCCGACCATCCACTTCGCCATACGGTGCCCCAGTACTCTTCACACCGAAACCGGACGGAAGCCTGCGCATGTGCATCGACTACCGAGCTCTTAACAAGCAGACCATCAAGAATAAATATCCGATACCGCGAATCGATGACCTGCTTGACCAGCTTCGGGGAGCTACGGTATTTTCCAAACTGGATCTGCGGTCCGGATACTGGCAGATACGGATGGCGGACAACTCTATCCACAAAACTGCTTTCCGAACTCGGTACGGATCGTACGAGTATTTGGTCATGCCGTTCGGACTCACCAACGCGCCGGCAACATTCCAAGCCGAAATGAACCACATTCTACGACCACTTCTGGACGAATGCGTGGTGGTGTACCTGGACGACATACTCATCTACTCGCGCGATATGAAGCAGCACGTCGAACACCTGCGACGCGTCTTCGAAATTCTTCGACGAGAACGATTCTACGTCAAACTGTCCAAGAGCGAATTCGCCCTGGAGAAAGTCCAATTTCTAGGACACATGGTGAGCGCTCAAGGAGTTCACGTCGACCCCAAGAAAATCGAAGCCGTACGCACGTGGAAGACACCCGAGAACGTGAAGGAGTTGCAGCAGTTCCTAGGCTTCGCTAATTACTACAACAGGTTCGTGCCACAATATGCGAAACTCGCGGCACCACTCACGAATCTGCTGAAGAAGAACACGCCCTACAAATGGGAGACGAAGCACCAGGAAGCCGTGGAGCAGCTGAAACAAGCACTAACGTCCGCACCGGTGCTCATCTTGCCAGATCCCGAACGCGACTACGTAATCGAAGCTGACGCCAGCGACCAGGCAGTGGGAGCAGTCTTAATGCAAGACCAGGGGAATGGACTGCAACCAATTGCCTACCTCAGCAAGAAACTGCACGGGGCAGAACTCAACTACCCGATACACGACAAAGAGGCTCTTGCTATCATCATCGCCTTCAAAGCGTGGAGATGCTATCTCGAAGGACGAAGAACAACCGTCTACACCGACCACTGCAGCCTGAAATATTTGAAAACACAACCCAACCTTTCCAGGCGGCAGGTCCGGTGGATCGACTTCCTCGAGACACACTTCCACTACGACATCGTGTACAAGCCCGGCCACAAGAACAAAGCAGACGCTCTCAGCCGGCCTGCACACGTTGCCGCGATTCAGATCGAAGGGATGAATCCACTACTCAAGGGACTCTTCACCCACGGGTACGCCATCGACCCCGAAATTCCCTTGGCAGAAAAGCGACATCTGCTACAGTGGGACAATGACATCGCATACCGGAAGGGATCCACAAAAATCTGGGTACCCAATTACCCTCCTTTGCGCCAGTTACTACTCGAAGAATACCACGACGTCCTATACGCCGGCCACTTCGGTAGCAACAAGACGCTCACCGGTATCGCCAAACACTACTACTGGCCCCATATGGCAGACGACGTCCAGAAATTCGTCACCTCGTGTGATACATGTCAGCGGATGAAGAGCAGCAAGCAGAAAAAGGCGGGACTACTGCAGCCTCTTCCTGTCCCAGAACAACCATGGCAAGTGGTTAGCCTAGATTTCATCACCGGGTTACCACCTACCTCCAGCGGTCATGACGCCATCCTTGTCGTCATTGACAAGTTCTCCAAAATGGGACACTTCATCCCGACACACACGACGGCACGCACCGAGGAGACAGCACATCTCTTCGTTCGTCACATCATCTCACAGCATGGCATCCCAACCACACTCATTTCCGACCGAGACCCCAAGTTCACCAGCAGGTTCTGGAAGGAACTTATGTCTCTTCTCGGGACCAAACTCGCCATGTCATCCGCATACCATCCGCAGACAGACGGACAGACCGAGCGCCTCAACCAAATTGTTGAGCAACTCCTCCGAGCAGCCTGCAAGGACGACATCTCCAAATGGGACTTGCACCTGCCCGTTCTCGAGTTTGCTTACAACAATGCTACACATGCCGCTACTGGACAGACGCCGTTCTTCCTCTGCTACGGACGCCACCCACTCACACCACAGAAACCGACAACATCAGCAACAGTCCAACCTGCACACGACTTCATCACAACCATGCATCAACTTTGGGATCGGACCCATAAGCGCCTCCTTGACATTCAACAGCAACAAAAGCGCCAAGCCGATCGCCATCGCAACGATCACACCGTCACGGTGGGAGACCAGGTGCTCCTCGACACCCGTAACCTGGACATCAGCCACCTCCCATCTAAACTTCGACCTCGCTTCTGCGGGCCTTTTCTCGTTGAAGCACAAGTCACTCCTGTTACCTTCCGCTTACGCCTGCCAGCTACCTGGAAGATTCACAACGCCTTCCATGTCCAACTTCTGAAGCCCTATCGAGATCCTAACACGATCTTCGTGGGACGCCAGCCGCCGCCGCCGCCGCCCGTCCTCGTCCAGAACGAACCCGAGTACGAGGTCGAGTCCGTGCTCGCACACCGCCGTCGTCGGAATGGCACCGTGGAGCTTCTTATCCGTTGGAAGGGTTATGATCCTTCTGAGGACAGCTGGGTACCTGAGTCCGACATGGGTAACGCCCGTCGTCCTCTGCATGACTACCTTGTCAAGCAGGGTGTTACTTCTACCACCCAGCTTTGAGGGGGGGAAGTGTGAGAGTACGACCCCGTTACACCACTTGGCCTTTTCTTATTTCCTTCCCTTTCATTTCTCTTTTTACCGCATCTCATTTGGTTTCCTATTCTTCCTTTTCCATTAACCTTTGGTTTATCCTGCTATTATCATTATATCACCGACCAGGCTTGGGATGTATTGGTGCGCTCTATCTAGCGTAATCCTGCTGTAATCCCTTAAAGCCAATAGCCTCGCGTGGCTATACGCAGGGTGATTCTATCTTCTAGAAGGGTCTATTCCCTTAGGATAAGATAAACCTGGTTACCTGATGTACTCTGGAAGTATAAAAGCGCCTTGTACTGATCGATAGTGCAACTTTTCCTCGACACATTCGATCCTGTGACAGCGATATACACAGAGACAGACTTAGGAGGAGCAGTAGGATCAGTGACAAATGATGCAAGCAAGCACAAAAGGATAGGACGAGCAGTGTGAGCAGCGTCAGTGGGAGGAGCAGGGGACAATGGGAGCAACGACTGAGGAGGTAACGGAAGGACTGGGACTGGAAGAGCATGCGAACGAAGTACCATAGGGTGGACACTAGGACAGGGAGAGACAGGACGAGCACCAAAGGGACGAGGAAACCAAGTCGGAGAGGAGTCCAGGGGAGGGAAGAGCGGGTTGTAAACAGGGCCAGGCATAGGAGGAGGGACGGGTGGGCGGTCAAGGGAACCTCAGGAAAGACCAAGGAGATGAAGGGAAGACTACGGCTACTGCTGCTGCTGCTGCCGCGGCTGCTGCTGCCGCTGGTGCTGCTGTTGCTGCAGCTGCTGCTCCTTGACCTCTCAATTACCTCCAGCTGCACCTCGGCTACCATCGGCACTCCCAGAAATGACACCCCCAGGACTAGCACCCCCAGAAGCACCACCCACAGAACCAACAACCTCCAGAGTCAGCACCCCCACCACCAACACCTCTAATACCAGCACCCCCAAAGCTAACACCACTAGAGCCCACTGCCCCCTGCTGCTACTGCTGCGGTTGCTAAGTCTGCTGCGGTGGCTGCGGCTGCTGCTAAGGCAAGGGGAGAGGTAGCTAAGTGACTGGGTTACTGGGGACGGGGGAGGTGCCACAGGGACAGCAGGCGCGCCCCCAACAGCTGGGCCCCCAGAGTCAGCCGACTCCCCCACGGGCCCAAACGAGGGGAACAGAGTGGCGTGAGAGACACTAGACGGGGCCGGGCAGGATGGGAGGGGTGCGGCAGGTGGGGCAGGGACGAGGAAGAGAGGAGGAGAAGGCACAGGAGTGCTGCGGTGAGGGAAGTACTTGTAGTAGGGGAGTCGAAAGTAATGTCACGAGAGCAGTAGAAGCGGTGGTGTGCCGTGAGGTAGAACAACCAGTCAGGTGCGTCAAGCGGAAACCCCAGAAGACACAAAGAAGGGTGTGCGCTGAGAGCTTGGCCGCACCCAGGGCGCGGACGTGAGCAAGGCTGCTAAAGACGTGAAACGCCAACGCGTTACCAGGAGACCTAGTCCAGAGAAGGGTCAGCGAAACCTGTGGCCGCTGGGAGCGGGGCCATAGGTTAAGCTAGTAAGTTGTCTAGCGCACGACGAATGGCCACAAAAAATGGGGTGCACCGGAGTGGACCATGGAGGTTCAATCTACCTCTATGACCAGGCTGATGCGTTGCTCGGCGAACCCATTATGCTGTGGGGAGTCCGGTAGTTTGTACGCCTGGCGAATGCTCTCCGCACTACAGAACTGTCCTAGATGGCCAGAATCAAACTCGCCATCACGGTCACAGTGTAAGCAAACTACAGTCAGGTGGTACTGAGCGCAAACAGCAAGAAGCCACGAGAGGAGAACGGTACGCACGTCGGCCTTCCGCTCCAAGGAGAACGCTCTGGTGAAATGCGAGAAGTCGTCCATGACGACTAGGAAGTAGCGCTCCCAACTAAGACCATGGACCGGGGCAGGGACCCAGGTGTCCATGTGCAGTGCATGTAACGACGCTATGGTAGGAGGAAACGAGGAGGAGTGTGGGGTGGCACGTTGCCACCCCTCGACCTAGAAGGTGCACAATGACGCTACCGACTGAGGCAGGGTGAGGAGGGACGTAAGAAGAACAGTAACTAGACCGTGCTGGGATATGTTCCTAAGACGCGGGAATGCAGGGTGACCTAAGCGGTGGTGCCACTAAAGGGTCGGGTGGGCGAGTGAGCGACAGGAGTAGGAGACGGCGACTTCAGCAGACGCAGCAGCTGGTTGGGACTCAGTGTGTAGTATGAAGAGACCAGACGCTGGGTCACGCTCAAAAGTGGCTAGGTGGTGATCGGTGACTGTGTCCGTGCAAGCTGCATGTCTCTCGCGGCCATGGAACGTAGTGGTGACGCCTCATTTCTGGAGGTGATCGATACCAATTAGGTTCCTGGCAAACGAGCGAATGTGCAGACCGGTTAGGGAGCCGGAGGGGACAACTTGACAGGAGAGAGTGGTGGTGCTGCATGCAACAGCTGTGGCTGAGAAGTCTACTAGTGCGATGCGAACATGTGCAGAAACAGAGCAGTGCTGCCTCTAAAGAAGCAACGGGATGCGCCAGAGTCTAAGATAAAGGAGAGGGCCAACATGGCGGGGCCCAGCGAAGTATCTCTAACTGAGCCTACGCCTGACACAGTAGGGGAGTCTATGCCTGAAGTAGCAAGGGATCCTAGACTACATACAGAAGTGGCTCCTAGGCTACAAACAGTAGGATAATAAGAAACAGCAACACTAGAGTAATCAACATACAGAGAATACAACGCATGATTGATCTGAATGATATTCATATCAAAGATAGGAACCCCACGACGAAGCAAGGCAGGCCAGGGAGGTACCTGCATCAGCGGGCCGAACTGACGATGGTAGATTTCATCCTAACGATGATAGCAGCGAGCGGCGGTGTGCCCCGGATGCCCGCAGACCTGGCCTGCCTGCGGGTCTGGTACGTGCATGTCACAGTGCCTCCAGAACCACCAACTCCCTGCCTCACAAAAGAGCCACGCGATTCCTAGGGCACCGACGACCCTGGGGCCCAACCTCCACGACCTCCACTATGACCACCACTCCCAGGGCCCGCCCGTAGCAAGGGTGCCTGGGGGGGGGGGGAGCAGAGAGCTCACCGCGTGGGCGTCCAGGGTCTCATCGTCCACTCGCTTGCTCATCAGCTCCAGGAGGAGTGTCTCCTGCCAAGCGGCGAAACCGACCGCCCACCCCTCCCCATCCAGGCGCAGAACGAAGACCCTGGTCACCGACATGTAGTGGTGGCAACTGCGGCCGTGAAGACAGTGGCGGCAGAAGGGGAAACAGCGGTGGCAGCTGTTGCAGGGGCAGTAGTGGCGGGTGATGCAGTGGGAGCCGGCGGAAGCGGCGGTTGCGGCTGCTGCAGGGGTGGCAGTTGCGGCGGTAGTGGCAGCCGTGGCGGTGACAGCAGTGGCTGCGGCAGAGACTGCAGAAGCAGCGGGCGGCAATGGCTGCGGCTAGCTGGCTGCGGGGTGGCGGCGGGCCAGCGGCGAACT